GACTGGCACCCCAACCCGGTTCTGTCCTGCTGGGAGGCCATGGCCCAGAGTGGCACCAGCCTCTGGACTTGTAGGCATGTCCCACACTGACCCAGAGTCTCGGTGTCCTGCCAGTGGCAGTACCTGTGGTCCCCACTCCGGGGGTGCTTCTGGGGGCAGGTGGGTGGGCTCTGGGCTGGTCAACCTGGTCTGGGACGCGGGCCAGGTGGCCCCTTGCCCATGACGGTCCGCCCGGTGCAGACGAGGGCTCTGTGCACAGCTGCCATGGGGAGCGGGCGAGCATCCGGAACAGCCCAGGGCAGGCACCAGGTGCCTTGATGCCTGTCTCGGGCAACAATGCTTGTGTGGTGGTGGCCTGGGTGTTCCCTCCACCCGGAGGCTGACTGGGGCTGTGATGGGCTTGTTTTTTTCAAGATGTGGCAATGGTGAGGCCGCTGCCCTCAGGGAGTCCAGCCTCCCGGGGCGTGTCCATACCCCAGGCAGGGTAGCAGTGAGGCTCCGTGTGGGAACATTAAGAGGGTGGGCAGTGTGCCAGCCGGCCCCTGCCCTCACCCTGGCTTCCCAGCGTCTCCTTCCTGGATGGGGGGCTTTGAGGAGTTTTGGGTTTAGAACTTTTGAGTGTTAAGTCACACTCAAAACCCCACCTGCCTCAGCCTTAGGCTCAGCTCACAAACTCATCATCCAGCCAGCCCCTGGCCCGTCCTGCCCTCCATGGGGGTCTTCAGACACCCCTCTGCCACACTCCACACCCAATACCTCTGGGCGCTGGTACCGGCTGGAAGGGGCATTGCCTCTGTTTCGTTTTCAGGCATAACGCTTCTTCCAGACCGACAAAACCGGTACTCATGTAATTTTATATATCCCTATAAACCTGCAGATACAGTGTATCGAAAGTTCTCCAAAACGTTCTGGTAACGTGTCTAAACGTCACCGGGTTTCGGCCTTGGTCATGAGTGGCCTCGACCGCATGGACTTCCACGCTGGCACTCGAAGGGCGCCCACAACTGGCCATGTCTTCTCTGCGCGTGGAGCACGGAGTTCTCGGTGATACTTCTAAAGGCGGAAGTGTCCCAGGGTTGAATGATGCTTTTCCGTGGATGGGAAAGTCCCTCACAGAGTTTCCCAAAGGGGACGCTGCAGGCTGGTCCCGGCCTGTCCCTGAGGCACCTCGGGGGCCTGGCCTGGGCTGACAGAGCCGTGGAGAGGTCCAGCCAGAGCCCACGCAGGTGCAGAAGGGGAGGCATGCCACCCACCCCTTGCTCCCCATGGGGCCCGGCCCCTGGGTGGCCCCACCGTGACCCGACCTGGCAGGACTGCTGCACTCTTCCGCGTTCCTGCAGCCCTGGCAGTCACAGGTATGGGAATGATGTCCGATAACGCTCTGGGCGTCCTTCAGGGCCGCTGCAGTGATTGAGGCTCTGAGGCCGAGCTGCCAGCAGGCACAAGCAAGCATTGTCCCCAGGCCTGGCACTGTGCTCCGCCCCGCAGCGGCCTCCCCGGGAAGGCGGGCGGGCCCGGCGGCGCTCCGGCAGAGGTGGGTGTCTTTTTTCCCACCTGTCTCTCTCCACCCTGCCCTGCCTCCACACCCAGCCCGGGGAAACAGTCCAGCCCTTCTGCCCCCACGCCTCGATTTCCCAGCTCTGGGCGCCTGGAACGGGCTTCTCGCTGAGCCTGGTCGTGGAGCTGGGGAGGGGGGTGGCCAGCCTTGCAGAGACACGGGGGTGGCGTCTGGCTCCGTGGCTGGGCGCTCCCCAGCATCCCTGCCATCTCTGTGGGTCTGGGGTCCGCCCAGGACAGGGCTGAGTGAACACATGGAAGTGAGCGTGTTCTGTGATTCTTTCTGAAACTGGCACGAATGTTCAAGTACAGGAAGAACCGTCTGCCCTTGGAAAGCACGCGTGTCGCTCTTGACCGGCCCCAGACCCCTGACCCCGAGGGGATGTCTTCTTCGGCCAGCCCCAGGAGGGGCCCCCAGCCCTGCGTGGCTCCCCACCCCTCTAGTCCAGAGCCCTGGTGCCCACCCCTCCAGGCGCTTGGGGTGAAGACGCCCCCTGAATGCACACTCCGTCGGGGGCGGTCCAGGTCCTGCCACAGACCTGCCCTTACACGGTCTCCTGTAGCTGGTCCTTCCCTCCTTGGTGTGACTCTGTCCAGCATCTCCCAGTGGCAATAGCTCCACTCACCCCGGGTCCTTCGTGTCTCCTGAGCAGGGCCGGGTGTGAGGACGTGGGTGGAACCAGTGCTGTGAGCTCCTGGCCCCGTACGCGTGGCCGCGCCATGGAGCTTCACAGCCCCCACTTGGAGCCTGTGTGCTCCCTCACACCTGAGGACAGGTGTGTACACAGGGCAGGAGTGTCCCCTCCCTGAGCCTGGCCTCCGGGGGCCCTGGCTGAGCAGGGTGGGGACAGGACAACAGCCCCGTGTCTCCTCTGGCCAGCACCCACTTTGTTCCCTCCTCGGTTAGTCACCCCATCACCTCCGGGAGCTTTGGCCTCTTGGAGCCTCGGTTTCCCCCTCTACACCCCATGTGAGAACAGCATGGTCCTGACGCTGTGACCTTGAGGGGACTCGTGGGGACTCGTGTGGCTGTGGAGGCGGCTGTGGTCAGCCCCTGGCGTGGCCGCGCGCCTCCTCCGGGCACTTCCTGTTGCGGGAAGAAAGGACCTTGTTGTGTTGTCACAAAGCCCGCGGGTGGGGACGCTGTCGCACATTTTTACTTGAGGAGATGACGCCCCCCGCCCCGCCCGAGCTCATCCGAGGTCTCCCTGTGCATCCAGCCGGTGTCTGACTCCGGCCCCTGGTCACACATCCAACCGTACTACCATCCACAGCCTCCGAGCAAGCGGCCGTGGGAAACCAAGGCAGGAGTGTGCCCAGGGGCCTTGGCAGGGCGCCCGTGGGGTCTGGGGTCAGGCGTCCCAGCATCTCCTGCCTGGGCTGGCACCTGCCTGGTTCCTCTTGGCTGAGCTGGCCCGTTCTAATCCCTCTCTCTGCTTGCTGCAAATCAAAACACAGACGCACAGAGGATTAGCTCTGGGGCAAGGCGCAGCCAGGCTGCACAGGGGTCTGGGGTGGGGCCCCTTCCAAGGGTCCTGATGAAGACCCCGCTTACGCTGGACAGTGAGCTCCGTGTAGGACAAGCTGGTCCCTCCGCAGCCCCTCTGCCTGGAACAGCGCCTGGAACAGCGTCTGGGTGGATGGGCTCCTTCTGCAAGTTCATGTGCTTTGTCTCCCTGAGATCAGAGACTTTTGAGGGCGGGGGCTCCCCTCAGGGGCTATAATGATAGGGAGCTTTCCCCAGTACCCCTCCTGGTAGGCCCCATGTGGGGCAGGCAGTCACAGTGTGGGCTGTGAGGTCCCGGGGCCTGGAGTGCAGACAGGGAGCCCCGTCCTTTGTTGAGGCCAGCCTGGGAGGCCTGGATGTCCTGCCCGTGCCAAGAAGGAGGGACCAGCAAGGCTAGGGTGCGCCGAGTCCTGGGCAGCAGCCCTGTCGGCGTGCGGCGCACTGTGGCCCTCGGGGAGGGGCAGATTGAGCATCTTTTTGGGGGTGGAGTGTCACCTACCAAGACAGGAGGGTGGCCAGGATGAGGCTGGGGCCGTGGGGCATGGAGGAAGTGTCGAAGGGATGAAGGGGGATATCCAGGGCATGACCGCTGTGGCTGTGCCTCACGGCCACATTGTGACATCCTGCTGTCCTGTGTTGAGGACCTGCTGTGGGGGTGCTGGGGAGACCCTGGGGGCCCCCACACGAGAGGTGCCCTCCCCCCGGGCAGAAGGAGCCTGGGGCCACACCAGGGACACCACACTCCGTGAAAAAGGGCTGCTGCCTCGGGAGACAGGGCTGGTGGGCACTGCCTTCAGGGAATGTCCCTGCCTGTGACTCCTTCTCGCTATGATTCAGGGGGGCATTATTCAGAGCTTGAGGGGAACTCGCCGTGCCCTCCCTTTGACAGGCTGTATGGGGCGGTGAGGGCCAGCACCCTGCCCACATTTGGGCCAGACCCTGCCAAGGCCTGTGTGGGCATTTCCCATCCAAGGTTCTGGGCACCCCAGGAGCCACAGATGCTTGGTGACGCCCCATGTGCTGATGCAGAAGTTGAGGTCCCTGGCCTGTGGGTGGTAGTGTCAGGGTGCTCAGCCTGGGCAGGGGCTTCTGCGCCACCAGGCACCCATGCCCCCCAGGGGCCCTCTGTAGCTCTTTGGGGCATTTTGTAAAATCAGCTTTGTTGAGCCACAATCCACAGACCGTACAAGTCGCCTTTTAAAGGGACAGGTCAGTGGCTTTTAGCACATCCCCAGCTGTGCAGCCACCACTGTCAATTCCAGAACATTTCCACCACCCCAAAAAGCAGCCCCGTACCCATTAGCTATCACCCCCATCCCCCCAACCCCCTGGCACTCACTCACCTCCTCTGTGACGTGCTTCTTCTAGGTGCCCGGGAAAATAGGAACACCCCGACCTTTGTCCCTTCGTGTCTGGCTCATTTCACTCAGTGCCGTGTGTTCAGGGTTCACCCATGCTGTAGCACGCGTCCTGCTGACGGGTAGACGGCACGCGTCCCACTGTGTGGCTAGACGGCATGCGTCCCGCTGTGTGGCTAGACGGCACGCGTCCCGCTGATGGGTAGACGGCACGCGTCCCACTGTGTGGCTAGACGGCACGCGTCCCACTGTGCGGCTAGACGGCACGTGTCCTGCTCTGTGGCTAGACAGCACGTGTCCCATTGTCTGGATAGACAGCTGGGTTCTGGCAGCATTTTAAGTTCTCCCACCTGCCACAGGAGGAGATGTGGTTCCTGCTGGGTCGGGGCCGAGGGCGGTGGGGTGGCCCCCAGCTCAGCCCTCCGGTTGTATGCCTTCAGCGGGGGCAGCACCTCCCTGCAGGCCGTTGGAAGGATCGCCGTGGTGGGGTCAAGGGCTGGGTGGGGCCGGCTCCGAGGGCCGCTTCCTGGGGTGGGCAGAGGGAGCGCGGGGGCTGACCGTGTGCCCCTGTCTTGCAGCTTCCTCATCGTCCTGGTCTGCCTCATCTTCAGCGTGCTGTCCACCATTGAGCAGTACGTCACTCTGGCCACGGGGATCCTCTTCTGGATGGTATGTGCAGGCGGGTGGGGCTTCAGGTGGGTGGGCCGTGACACGGGGGTCACAGCTGTGTTTTGCCTGAGGGTGGGCGTCTTAGTCATCTGGTGCTGCTATCCCAGAAATACCACAAGTGGGTGGCTTTAACAAAGAGAAGTTTATTCTCTCACAGCCCAGTAGGCTAGAAGTCCAAATTCAGGGCTTCAGCTCCAAGGGAACGCTTTCTCCATTGGCTCTGGAGGAAGGTCCATGACATCAGTCTTCCTTTGGTCGAGAAGCATCTCAGCGCAGGAACCTCGGGTCCAAAGGACACGCTCTGCTCCTGGCAGAGGTATGAGGTTCCCAGGTGTCTCTGCTCGCTTCTGTCTTTCATTTCTCAAAAGAGATTAGATTAAGTCACTATCTAATCTTGTAGACCACATCAGTATAACTGCCGCTAAGCTAATCCATCTTATTACATCATAGTGATAGGGTTTACAACACATAAGGAAATCATATCAGATTACAAAATGGTACACAATCGTACAACCCTGGGAATCATGACCCAGCCAAGTTGACAGATTATTTCTGGGGACACAATTCAATCCATGACAGTGGGACAGTGCTGCCTGGCCTCTCCCCCACTGGGGATGACCCTGCTGTCCTGCCCCACACACGCCCCTGCTGGCTGGCATCTGGCTCTGGGACTCAAGGTGTGGGGACCCCTTGGGCCCTGGGTCCGCCCCAGGGCACTGAGAGGTCCACCATGCCAGGCCACCCTGGATGTGCAGGTGGGCCGGGAGGGTTGAAGACTAAGCAGAGCCTGGGGCAGGGCGGGCTGGGAGGGCTTCCTGGTGGAGGGGCTGGGCTGGAAATGCCGTGTCTGATGGAGTGGGAGGCAGGGGTCTGCAGGGCCTGCCTGGTGGCTTGGGGCTCTGGTGACCTGGCCTGGGTTATTTCTGTGATAAGGAGCCTGCAGGTGACCCCCGAACCCCGAATGCCCCCATCCTGTCCCCTGGACGGTCCTCCCCCAGACTGCGGGCACCCAGCTCAGCATCCCTTTGGGCAGGACAGTCCTGGGTTAGGGTTAGGGCTTTATAGGGTTCTGAGTGTCACATTGTCCCTACCTGGGACTGTGCGTTCCTGGCACAGCCAGCCTGAGTGGTGGCCCTTGGGATGGAGACAGTCTGGGGATGGAATGAATTTCCAGCCATCAAGCCCTGTCCCACCTCCCCCACCCTGCAGCCCCCTGGGCCCCCGACTCTGAGAGCGGCTTCTTGTTCCTTACAGAGTTTGTGTACCATGTACCTGTACGTCCTTTATTATCATTATTCCAATAACTCCCCAATCCCTCCCCGCAGCCCTTGGTAAACACTAATAAACTTGGGCCTCTATACGTGTGCCTCTTCAGGATATTTCACATGAGTGAGATCATACAGTATTTCTCCTTTTTTCACTGACTTATTTCGCTCAGCATGAAGTTTTCAAGATTCATCCATGTCGTCGTGTGTATCAGGACTTCATTTCTATTTAAGACTGAGCAATATTCCATTGTATGATGGACCACATTGTGTTATCCATTCAGCTGTTGATGGCACTGGGTTGTTGCCACCTTTCGGCTGTTGTGAATAGTGCTGCTGTGAACGTTGGTGCACGAGTATCTGTTTGAGTCCCTGCTTTCAAGTGTCTTGGGTGTGGACCCAGGAATGGGATTGCTGGGTCACGTGCAGGGCTGTGAACTGGTTCAAACTGGCTCGGTCATGGCCCACGAAGCGAAACAGGAACAGACCCGAAGTGTTGCAGTTTGGCAGGTTCGGCACAGCACCCAGAGCGGGAAAAATGACAGGTCAAAGCCCTGGAATGTGAGACTCAGAAGAGGCATTGGGAGCCCTTTTGGGAGCCTGCTGCGAGAGATTGGATTATTGGCAGGACTGTGGTCAGCGACACACGTTCAAAGCGGTGCGTTGGCGGCCAGCTTTGAGCAGGGCGCTGCTATCTTTGGGTGGGGCACTGCCTTGTTTGAGCGAGGCAGTGCTGCTTTGTACTGTTCTCAAAACCTGAGGGCTAGAGATTTGGTTGCTATGCAACACGTATGCTGCCCTTGTTCTCTAAGAGGGAGATTAAGTTTCTAGCAGGGCTTCAACCTATAATTTTTCCCATTCTGGCTATCTTTCTGGTTCACTGTAACTTTAAAAGTTGGGGTCTGTTCCGGTGACATTTCCTCGGCCATGACTGAACAGAGCAGAACTGGTTCGAAGCCCTGGTCACATGGTGATTCGGTGTTTAACTTTTCAAAGAGTGAGTGTGGGGTTTGAGGACTCTCCTCTCCCCAGCCAGCTGGGAGCCCCTTGCAGCTGGGGATTGGCCCAGCTGTGGCAGGAGGAGGGTGCTCAGTACCCGCAGGCCCTGTGAATTCATCCCCATGCACTGTGGTCCATCCCTGCCCCCGTGAAGCTCACGGTCTGCCAGGAGACCCCAAAGTCAAACACAGAATTGCACACGCATCCCTGCTGTAGCTGAGGCTGCTGAGAAGGTGGGGTGCAGGGGCTGTCCCAGCTGGGGCACAGAAAGTTTCCAAGGAAGCCGCCTGCCCCGGGCAGGACTGCACCCATGCCCCTTTCTGCTTCTGTGCTTTTGTGCATGTTTACATCATGTCACGGAGAGTTATGACATCTGCACAAGCAGAGTGAGTGGTGATTGGCCCATCTGTGCTGTCTCCCAGCCTCTACAGCCCCAACCCACTGCAGGGTTCATGGATCCTGGTTGTGTATGAGTCTCCTGGGGTGGCTGTGGCAAAATACCACAAAGTGGGGGGCCTTAAACAACAGAAATTCATTCTCACTCAGCTCTGGAGGCCAGGAGTCAGAGATCAGGGTATCAGCCATGTTGATTCCTCTGAGGCTCCGAGGGAGAATCTGCTCCTGCCTCTCTCTCAGCTTCTGGTGGCCCCCAGCATTCCCTGGCTGCAGCTCAAGGGTTACATGGTGTCGTCCCTCCGTCTCCTGGTCTCTATGAGTCTCATCTCCTCTTTTATAAAGACACCACTCAGGTGGTATTAGGACCCACCATGTTCTAGTGGAACCTCATGGTAACTCAATTGGCAATATCTTCAAAGACTTTATTTCCAAACAAGGTCACTGTCTTAGGCCAGGTTCTCTAGAGAAGCAAGACCAGTATAGCATATAAATATATATAGAGAGAGGTTTTTATTAAGGAAATGGCTCATGAGGTTGTAGAGGCTGGAATGTTCCAAATCTGTGGTCAGGCTGGAGGCTTCTCCTGATTCACATAGCTGCAGGGGCTGGCAAACCCAAGATTGGCAGGTCACACAACAAGGCTCTGGCTCACAGGCTGTGAAGACCAATGAATCCCAAGATCAGCAGGCAAGATGGCAGGTAAGCTGCTAGCTCAAGTTCCAAGAACAGGAGGTCAGATGAACAGGAGCCAGCTGCAGGATCCAGTGCAATCAAAATCCCACAAGCCTTGCCAGAAAGTCTACCTATATTGGTTGCAGGCCACACCCCCAAGGAAACTCCCTTTCAACTGATTGGCTACTCAAGCAGATACCATCATGAAGGTGATCCCATATATTACATCTCATCATGGAAGGGATCCCATCATCATACGACTGCCAAACTGCATCATAACTGCCAAACCACTGAGAATCATGGCCCAGCCAAGTTGACACACAAACTTAACCATCATAGTCACGTTCACAGGTACAGGGGATAGGACTTCAACATTATTTTGAGGAACACAGAAGGGGACCAGAGAAGGGGTGGCCGTCTTCCCTCTGTGTGACTGTGTCTCCTCATCTCTTTCATAGGACACCACTCACATAGGATCCAGACCTCCTCCGACTCCACATTCACAGGCCCCAGAGTTAGGACTTGAACACATCTTTTGGGGGACACGAATCAGTCCATAACACTGGTGGGGTTTCTTCAGCTGGGCCCCAAGGCCATTTTAAAGATATTTAAATTGTGGTAAAATGTCTATAACAAAATGTTTGCCATTTCACTCGTTTTTATGTGTACAGTTCAGTGGCATTAATTACGTCCACCACATTGTGCGAACATCACTACCTGTTCCCAAGTTTCTCCGTCACCCTTAACTGAAGCTCAGTGCCCTCTAAGCAATAACGCCTCCTTTCCCTCTCAACTTAAGGGTAACACTTTGGGACCTAGTTTTTGACAATGGAGTCTTAAGTGAGGGTGGTGGTGGTTAGTAGCCATGAGTCAGCGATGACTTAATGGCGACCTTATGTCCAACAGAACGAAACGTGCCCACTGCGTGATCTTCATGATCATTGGCGTGTTTGAGTCCATTGTGGAGACTATTGTGCCAGTCTGTCCATGGAGGGTTTCCCTCATTTTTGCTGACTCTACTCTACCAAACATGATATCCTTTTCTAGGTATTAGTCTTTCCTGATGACATGTCCAAAGTAAGAAATCACCAGGCTTTCCTTCCTAGTCTGTCTTGGTTTGGAAGCTCTGCTGAAACCAGTCCACCGTGAATGACCCTGCTAGTATTTGAAGTACTGGTGGCATAGCTTCCAGCATCCCAGCAACATGCAAGCCACCACAGTAGGACAAAGTGACAGGCGGGTGGTAGGATTCTTAGCTATGACACCAAAGGAGGAGAAGCAACAGACCAAGTTGGACTTTGTCAAAATAAAAAAATGTTTGTACATCAAAGGACTTTATCCACAAAGTAAAAGAGAATGAGAAAAATATTTGAGAACCATATAACTGATAAGGATTTAATATCCAGAATGTATAAACAGCTTCTACAACTCAACAACAAAAAGACAAACAACCCCAAGGCCTTTTTTTTTTTTTAAATTTTCTTTATTGTACTTTAGATGAAGGTTTACAGAGCAAACAAGTTTCTCATTAAACAATACACATAGTGTTTTGTGACATTGTCAACCCCATGACATGTCAGCACTCTCCCCTTCTCAACATTGGGTTCCCCATTGCCAGCTTTCCTGTCCCCTCCTGCCTTCTAGTCCTTGTCCCTGGGCTGGTATTCC